AACACCTTGCAGAATAAAAGGTTGTTTACTGATAACTCCTCGAATCTAAGTGCTAAACTGGCATGTGATGTGGAGCAGTCGGTTAAGGTTTTTTGTGACCCTGTGATGGATTCTTAAGGGTGGTAAAGTTATGTTTAAGTCGAGTGTGCCACACCTGAATGGCGTATTCTACATGTGGCTTCCCATGCGTGTTGAGCATTTGCGAAAAGAAAGAGGTATCAATCCAGCCAAACGACCTTCGCAGTACGCTCAAGTGTTGGCTGGCTTCGTTCACTGACTTCCTGGACTGTTTTGAATATCTCAGACCGTCCTACACGATCACTCCAAGATCGCTCTCATGAGAGGAGTGCGGCAGATTGGTTTCTCTTAGTTGATATTCATGGCTGCTCTTTATTTTGCACTTGACAGGGTTAAACTCATGTTTTTTTGAGCGGACCATTCATAATCCATGTGGAGATCACTTTACAATGCTATGTGACCGTCAATTTGCCTGATTACTGGCCAAATTATCAAGTCATCCGCAATGCGTATAAGGTCCGACGTCAACACTCCCGCGATGTCGTTTATGAACACTAGGGATCGGCATGGTCTTAGTACCGAGTCATGAGAGGTGCAGTGTGCACCCCTATTGGATCGAACGCGTTGTTACGAACTGGAACATCCATGCGGCGTTGGAGTAGTAGTGAATGTATCCATTCCAGGATAGTTCACCGATCCCGTAGCCTCGAAGATTATTAACAAGAATCTGGTGACTTAAGCGATCAAATGTCCTCAAGAAATCAGGGTACACGAGGTCGATTACTCCCAGAACACCGATAGACGCGCTTCAGCCGCTGTGCATGAACGGTTTTGGCAGAAGCTGGGCTGTTTCTGCACGATAATATTGTATCTTCCTAAAATCCAGGGAGTGCACTGCAGTGGCATTTTCCTTGATTTTAAAAGCACCAGAAGAAGAGTAATTGGGCAGTAATTTGCGGGCACATCACGATTGCCTCCTTCGCTTCCTCATAGTTCGGAAATTATAGGCCGTGCCACTTACGGACAGTAGGCAGAGCGAAATCAACTGAAGTTATTGTGACTGTATATTAGTGATTGTAATGGAAAAGGAAGCCAAAACTTACAGATACTTAAAGAGACTCACAATTACATACGGAAATTGTGCAGCGGATTCAGTTCGTAGTAGTGAACTTATAGCACATTAAAACATTGTCCGGATATTTGTGCTGCATAAATGGGGGTCCGTAACTAAATGAATTTATATACAAACGGATACGAAGAAAATGTTGAATAACCAGTCCACTGGCGCTAAGTACGGTCCACTAGCAGTCAGTTCGATGCACTATGGTTGCAAATATGAGGTACAACTTATCTACTTATAAATCGAAAGTGGTACGCTATACTTTGGATTAGGAATTCACAGTTATCGCCTACACCACATAACCATGTCAATATGGCAAACATCTGTCTCGTGCCCATTAAAATTTGTGAGTGTATGGTAAGGCGAACAGGCAAATGCATTCAGAGCTACGGATGCAGTGCTGGCCATATTAAGACAGCAAGTGAGTTAGCCAACTATAACTTTTCAAGTTTGAAACGACTCGCTTCCGCTACGTTCCTAAAGTGGACCACAGGTACGTAGCTCTAACCCCTATTCGTTTGTTCATCCCACTTAATAGGCCCCATACTTTCATAGGACACAGCGCAAGTAACCGTAGTTGGGCAGTTGGACCAAGACACATTGGAAGGATAAACGTAAATAATAACAGCTGCTTTGCTCCCAGGAACACATGTTCAAGATGTTGGGAGACCCTGCGAACACGATTCACTTTAGACCCCCTTGGATCCCACAACCAGGACATTAGTGTGCGTTATCACAGCGCTGAAGCATTCCTTGTCTTTTGAACGCGGTTATTCGCGCTAGTTAGTCTTTTGAACTTATTAGTTTGATTTTCCAACACTATCTGACTCCCTTCCCCGCAAAAGTACCAGCGTGATGGGTTGGTTGCAACCGACGCAAGGCTGAGAGAACAGACATCGGATGTCAGCGGTTCATATAATCGCCCCTGTAATCCACTTACCACCTGCAGTTACACGGTGTTTCGGATTAGCCTACGTCAGCACGTAAGTGCCTACTCTTCTTGCATTTGTGGATAACCATCGCAGAGACCAGGTACTGGTGTCCTTCGTGGGTATGGAGAAGTTAAATCCTGTTCTTTTACCTATCGTTCCGCGGAGCAACCGCTATGGCTCTGAATCGAGGCGGAATGAAAATCTGGATTAATATCCTCTAGAGGAACATGACCATCATAATAGAACATGTGAACAACCGCGGAGCGAAAATTGGGATTATGAAAATCTCAAGTATTTGAGATTTTCTTCAATTATGTGCCACGACTTACTTTAATTTCAACGTAGAGATCTATATGCAAGCGAATGTGCACCGTGGGGATCCTCAATATCAGGATTGGTCACTGAGGTCGTTATACAAAAGTTGGAAGAGGACCTACTGCCAACAATTAATTCAAACCGCATTTGCCGCCCGCTGCTGGAATTGAACCACAACACTAACCTAAGTAGTCATACTCTGAAACTTGCAATACAGTATTGCCGGCTGGAATGCCGTAGAAACTTCTTTTCACTCCGCGTAAGCCAGGCTTGGAACGCCCTCTCTAATTGTCTTCTCTGCTCCAAATCTCGCGATATATAAAAACGAGTTGACGATGCGTCGTCTCATTTGCATTTTATTTTATAACTTGTTAGCCAGGGGACTAAAATACGCAATCAAACGGTGTCTTACCAAACTCCCAACCAATAGATTCATGAATTTATACTCTTAATACACGAACGCTTCCGCTGTTCTACATACATTTTTGGTGAGTCCACCAAAATGCTTTGCACTTTATCATGCAATTTTATCTTCGCAATAATTTCCGTTCCACGGGACTTGTTGAACACTGCTTTTTTAACCGTAATACATCATTATCCCACTGTTCCAAATTTGTGGGCCCGCTCCGTTGACAATACATTTGTAAAATTCAAACGTAGGAAGTGACATTCACACACCAACTACTCAACAATGCAATGGAGAGCGTTCAGTTTACACTGGCGTTCGAAACGGGACACTTGTTCTCATTCATGGACGTATTGGTGCTTGGAACAATGTACAATAGATTTCAGGCTTCCGTTTACAGGGAGAGCGCACATACCGACCAGATTCTGAGATTCAACAATAAGCAACCATAGTGACACAAAATAACCTGCGTACGGAAGCTCTTTTGCAAAAAATGAAACACTGCGTTGCTATAGAAGAGAAATGGGGGGAGCAAAAGCATATATTCAATTCGTTTAAACTCAACAAATACCCACGCAGCTTCATGCACGGATGCTTAACTCACAGGCCCACAAACAGCAAACCGATGCCAATCGCAAGCAAGCGGAGCGTTTTGTCGTATGTGAAAAGCATATCTGATATGATGACTCAAAACAACATCATGTCATAGTTGCCCCTTAAGCCAATGGCTAATTTGCGAACACTGTCAAACCCAAAGGACAAACGGGGAACACAAGAACGAACGAACGAATGTCGTGTACAAACTAAATTAATATAATTGTGAAACGAACTTTGTGGGACAGACAGGTAAGTTCGACCAAGGTACAATAACACCAGAGAGCGTGTAAAATCATTACGCCCCGTCACTTACCTCAACGCATTTGGATAAGGACGAACACAGCTTCGACTGGAACAGAACGGAGATACTGGCTTAAGTAGAGGCACAACAAAGAAGGGAATTCCTGGAAGGTTGTTTCTCCTCTTATAATTCGATCAATTTGCGCAAGGACATCGACCCCATATACCACTAACAGAAAGACTTCTGGCGAATAGGAAAACAGGTTACGAAACAAGGTACGCGGCGGACAATTCGAGCGACCTCTTCAGTCACGGGGGAAAATGGGCAATGTGCACGGGGTGAAACTCAAAAATATTACTTTAAAAGGCCTGCCTGTCGATCATCAACGGACAACTAAGTTAAGGAGATTGCGCGCCGCGCATCTCCGCACTGACGCGGCCACCTTGCATTGTGGCGAAACTAAGCAACCACTTAACCATGCTCTTTAAACCAAACAACAGCTGAACAACCAACTGCGACTACCAATGCTGCAAATTATTTCGCATAATATCGCATTCAAATCGCGATGTTATAGCTTTGAATCGGGTGGTACAAATCACGTGAAGATTAAGGAAGCCAGCGTAACCAGTCTGTTGCGAAAATCCTATCATATGAGATCGGGGTCAATAAATCAATATGTCTTTTTATTTCAATTTTTACAGTGTAAACGTTTATACTATCCCGATGTTATCATTGCGCCTTCTCGAAAAGTGGAATAAACTGGTTACTAAAGTGCTACCATCGAGGTTGCTGGTACATGTGAAAATACCCAGTTTCTTCGGTAGTTGGCACGTGATAATCAATCTATTCAGAATACCTATGGATAGATGAATGTTATACAATCCGCCCAATATCCTCCAGCAGCACTATAACCACAACCATTACCTAATCGTTAGTAACGGATTCTTTCTGTTCAACTGGGAATTGGCAGTTTCTGCTGCTCCTTGATTTAAACATATATCTTTTAAGTGCCAGGCAATTTAAAACCGTGATGCGTTGATACTAACTAATCAACTATCGGAACGGTGCAATTGACCAAACCTACTGAGCCTACATTGAGCCTACTTGCATCTACATGAAACTAAGTTTTTTTGAAACGCTGTTGATGATTGAAAGGACTCAGTATACAATTAGCTGAGTTTTTTCTCAAATTAAACCGCCATTGTGGTTCGAACTAGCATTCGTTATCGGTGAATGTGCTCTTTAGCGCTCTAATAGGTTAAGATTTTGTTTTATCGCAACACATCTTTTATGGTTCAGTGGCCATCTTTAGGTTTGCAAAGATGCGTTGTATTGGTTTTGTGGGGTTCCATCACTATTTTACTTACCCAGCTTTCAATTGACACAACAACGGTTGAATTTGGTCACGTGGTCATCGGTGAGACAGCGCGACGGAGTGTAACCCTTCATAATATCGGCGCACGAGGAGTGAACTTTCGATTTCAGAAAATGATACGTTCCGAACAACGCAGCGAGGAGTCTGGATCGAAAATCTATTTCTGTCCGCGGGTAAGTTCGACAGTGGATTCAGTGTAGCAAAAGTATTGGAATACAGAAAAAGCCATAAGCCGAGGTAAAACTTAGGTGATCCTGAGAACCCAACATAACCATGACGGGTAGTAAGCGTTAATATTCGTCTGGTCGAGTAGGAGGTAACCGAAACTGAAACAGTTAGTGTAGTTGTCGCTGACTTTGACTACGGTATATTAGAGCTTCGGTTTTTATAACGGACCTATTGGCGGATCTGACGTTTGACCACTGGGACCACCTTGTTCTGCTCTGTTTGCTATCGTCTCACATTTTTGGCTTTGTCACATTACTTAGATTTGTTTGAAGAAACCATTGAAACATTAAAAAGGACTTAAAGCTCTCTGTCAAATGGCATGCGTTACAAGACCGAGCAAGTCCATTGTTCTTCACCGGAAGTATAATGGAAAATTGAGACAGGTGCATAGCTGACTTTGAAACACGTTTGGCTAATCTTGTTTGGCTGTCCGGCGCTGGTTTTCATAAAAGCCATTTAGCAAGCAATTCGTGCGCTCTAGGTAGAAAGAAAGACTCTTCATTAAACTTGTTTGTGAAACAACGCCTATCACTGTGCCTTGTTTTATTACACAAGTAAGTGATTGTCAGAAAATCAAAGATTTTCCAGAAAATGTAAGGAAACGATAGTTCTAAGTGATGGGAGTTGGGTGACTGAGTGCTTTATCCGACTACGTTTGATATATAGTTAATGTCGGTGCGGAAATGATCGAATCGGATAGTGCGTTCCAGGGATGGCATACACGGACAAAAAAGACCTCTTTATGAAATACCAGGCTACTATGACGTCACAACCGTTTCAAGATTTTGCTGACTAGCTCCGAGATAGAGCAGCACAAATGGATTAGATATTGCCAGCAACAGTTGACCCGTAATAGGTCCGTCGCGTAAGTGACTATACTGTCCGCTGAACCCTCCTGTGTGTGGGTACCGGCGAATACGCGTCCCAATAGTTTACTCAAAGACTCGAAGCCGAGTTTGCTCTACAGCAAAGAAGTGTGTATATCCATGGCTGCAATACTGGAAGGAACATAGGCACTGATCATCTGACGGAAAGTGGATGTCTTTGTGTCCAGCTGAATTTCAGCCGGATTGTTTGGCTCACGCTAACGAACTTATTGCATTTATCTGACTATCGGCGAGTACCGTTCCCGAGAGTCGTAGAGAAGGCCCGAAATGACGGGACATGTTTTTTGATGAAGTGTACAGTGGTCCCGTGTAGTAACTGAAATTGGCACATGGTCACGACGCGTGGTAACTGTCGAAGGGTGCTGGCTACCTCGCAGTGGAGCGGCGTGGCGGATGAAACCGTTGTACGGTGTGCGAGGGGTGTTCACGAGTCAGACAAATAGATTGAACATGCACTTCAACATTGGGTATCAGTCACCTAATTGTTCAACAAATAATACTTAGTTATAAATTCACAGCATTGGCTGGCGGAATCACCTTCATGTGGTGCCAGCTTGGTGGTTCGGGTTAATCTCGGTCCAGATACTAGTTCGTCTGCGGCGTTGACTTCGTGGATTTTCGCCTGGTAAGCATTCCCCCTATAAAGCCACAAATGTCCGCTTAACAGCATTGTGACGTGGCGGATATGACTCGTCACTAAAGAAAGTCACTGCCTTGCGCCTTTCCGGAGGATCTCACTCCTTTCAAGAAAATCAGCCACTTTGGAGATACTATTTGATCCCTTCCTATGTTGTCGAATTCACCGGACACAACTTCAGCATAATAGTAACAAATTCACTCAACACAAAGTCTTACACATACATACAACACATATATCCAGTATGTACTGGTTAACTTGTAAAATGTGTGTACAATTATTGATGTTACGCGTTTGTATCACCATGATCGTGCCTTTGTAGGCGTGTCTCGCACCCTCGAGAATAAATCATTTATTTATTTAATTAAACCGGGATCTCCAGAACTCTACGGCCCTTCTCAACATTATGAACTGTGGATTAGCTGCTCGCGACGCTGTTCCAGATTGCTTGAAACTACTTAAGTCACCCTTAGGTCACATAGATGCTCACAGGAACAATGGATTTATCACGGATGAAAAATTGATTGCCATACCTTTTCCGTAGACATAGAATAAGAACAATATGTAAATGCATCAAAAAACAACCAAAGCGTAACGGTGGATTCGCCGCAATTTTCACTTGTACATATAGGTTGGTTACGTTGTCCCACGTCTCATTAACTTGCATTAAATCATGTAAGGCAGGTAGGGTAATACATCATGGAGTTGAATTTTGGGATCAGCTAAAGTAGGATCGGAAATGACAGAAGGCGGAAGTATGTTCCACGACTGGGCACGTCATGTCGATATGTTGAAAACGGTCCGGCGATATTCCAACCGAAATTACGGTTTCGCCAATTTCAGCTGGCGACCTCTCAAATAGGTGTTGTTGCTAAGTTGCAACAAATGGTTGGTTAGTATGAGTGCTTAGGTAGGTGGTTAGGATGCTTGTTGGTCAGATGCAGCAAGATATTTTCTCCGTGCAAACGACGATATATTTCAAAAGAGCACGAAGAAACCATATTTTAACAGGATATACTGAATTCAGTAATTTCGTGTGTTCCCCTTAGCTGTTTACACTCAATTTGTGGAAAGTTCGGCTACATAGCAAGGGAGGTCAATTTGCAATGTTATTGGCGAACCTCTGAAGCGGGCGAAAATCGGTGAATTCACGTGACCCGGTCGAAGGAAAGATGACGTTAGCCCCACAGGGTAGGGCGAGGCTGGTCACGAAATCCGTTTGTTTTTACAAACTTGATTTCAACCGGCGAATCGCCGAGGCCTCAACTAACTGAAATAGACAGGGACTAGTTTGTTTGTTGATCACCTTAAACCCACCGCGTGGCTTTTCGCATACAAGGCAACCAAGTACATGACGTGCAATAGAGCTAATGTGTAGTTTCAGGCCATTTGCGATAACACGCGATAACATTGCAACTTGATCTCCCTTGGTATGTAGCCTATCTTTTCCACAAAGTGTTTGGAAACAGCTGAGGAGAACACACGAAATTACTGAATTCAGTATATCCTGTTAGAAGGTGGTTTCTTCTTGCTCTTTTGAAATTCGTGAAGGGAAATGCTCTTATGAAATTTCTTAAGAGACGATATAATTCGTTAAAAACGCCTAGGGTCGTTCATCTACAATGGTAAATAAAGTGAAGCTCTCTGTTTTGAATTTTCAAAGGCAGCATGGTTGTGCTTTTCCCAGAGGTGCCCTAGTTGGGTGGTTTTATACACTTGTGGCTCCATGTAAGCTTTTGGCATTTGTGAAAATAATGTAGGAGAAAACCAGCCAAATACCCTCCGCAGTAGATACATGCGCTAATTAATTTTTTCACTGTTCTCTCTGCCTGTTCTATTTGTCTGAGATGGTCCTGCGCCAGCCCCCAAATATCAATTTCATTGGAAGTTTGATGCGAAGTATTTACTCCTAGCTTATAATCGTAGATGCCCTGGTGGCGCATGAAGTTATTTTACTTTTGACTACGTCTAACCCGAGCCCGTTTTGAGCTGGCCACTCACAAGCCCTGTTAAGAGCAATCTGTAGTTCTGTGATCGTCAACTCTCTTGACCCTCAAACAATTCGTCCTTAACGGGTGGGAAGTTTGAGTTCGGAACTTCTGCGAATTCGTTTATGTGCACTAAGAATAGACATTTCCCCAGTATCGAGTGATGAGGGGGGGGGGCAAAGTGTAGCTCTATCGAATCGAACAATGCGCAATGAACTCGCACCTCCACGCGGAGTTGGAGTAGGATTGCACGCATAAACCCCAGGGCAGAATTAACTATCCCGTAGCAGTTAAACTTATAAAGAAGAATGCTTGTATCTAGGAGAGAAACTTTTTGTGTTGTCAACGTAGGCAACTTCAACACTTTCGCTAGGATCGACCAATACCCTCCAGCTGGCGAGGGCTAACTACAGGCCTTCGGGACATGACTACTTTCGGAAGCCAGGCTGCTTCTGCTTGATAATATTGTATCTTCATAAATGGCCAATGAGTGCGACTGAAGCGACAAATTCCGGGAATTCAGTAAGCATCAGAAGAAGGGTTAATGGTCGGTAGTTTGGCGGTCACGGCACGATTGCCCCCGTATAGATAAAGGCGACTATTCCGCGCTTCCAATCATCTGGAACCTGCAGCCAGTCGACAAAACGTTGGAAAAGCTGAGACCACTGTTCACCAAAGCTTGTGGCAGCTACCATTAATCTTTGAGTGTAATCCCGACATCAGTCGGTTTAGCTATCTGCAGCAGTAAAGATGTGGATCTGTCGTCCGCGGATCACTAGCAAGCTGGGCTTTTGCAATTTCGAAGTCAACCGTGTTTGAACCTTAACAGAGCATTTATTTTTCCTCTTGTCACGCATGAGCTCTTATGTTCTTATTTTAAAGATCTTTTTGAGAATCACCCGATTGTCTTACTATTATTCCTTCAAGTCACTGTACAAAACGATAGTTATCAACTTGGTCGACGCTTGGAACAGCCACTGTCGCCATTAGACAGTATTTTTTAAGTCATCTTGCTTTGACTGAATCCTACGACGCATCGCCGCCTATCCACTTACTGGCTGGATCGATAGCACGCACGTAGCCTATCTACTCTATGGGACTTGTGACATATCTGGACGCGACACCTCTGACCCCTTTGACTTCAAACCTGCGCCGATAGACACGCAACGAAAAGTGGAGCGAAGTCAAATATGGTGCGTCAGTATCTCTGTCCTCTTGCTACCCCTTACAACAGCACGCCTACTGTGAACATGTCTTGTATGAGGAGCAAATGCTAATCATGCGCTAAAGTGGTGAAAAATGATCTGGTGTGTATCATATGCTTGAAATCCAATCACACTACCTGCTTTGGGACGCGGCCGACAAAACGGTACACTAATACGGCAGAGGCGTTTTGGTTCTGCCAGGTGCGCAATTCTATTCTAGTTGTTAAC